AGCGGTAATAACTATGACAACTAAACGCCAAGTTCGTACATAATATACAACATGAATGTATACAGCGAAGAGTCCTTCACAGACATTTCCACAAACTAGCAAACTGGCTGCTTTGGTACGAACGTACAAGCGATGATATCGTGTATCGCCCGCCTGTTGCCAGTTGTTTCGGTATGAATCACGGTGTCGGTAGGTAGCAGCCTGTGGAGATGAGGCAAGATTCAAACCTGGGGCCTGCCTAATAATAATAAAATTCCGTGGCACTCCGTGAACCGCGTTCAGAGAGGTAACAAGACCCTACAAGACACTCATTCGAGCGTTTACTCCTTTCTTTAACAACCTGCTTCGCCAACACTGTCCTGAATGACCTATATTCAGTGAATACCGGCGACAAGGCTGCCGGAGCGTGAAGATGACTACTCACCTCAATCTACACAGATGGAACTTTACCCAAATGTATAGCTGCGAAACCTTTCCATCTAAATTGCATCACAAAAACTCCAAATATTCATCGAAATACAGACAAAACTACTTCCTTCATGTTTGTTCAACTTTTCTGTCCAGCCGCTTCAGACAGGTTCGGAAGGGGGTAGCAAACAAAACCCCGTCCTAGATTGGTGTACTAATTATCTTGTGTCATTTGAGGTTCTCATGGCGTCGAATATGAAGATGGCTGTCTACTGTAATTTGTAGTACCGTGTTGCATGGTAAATAATGACGTTTCAGAAGAGTTTATTGTCCCCATCACCATTCATCGCCCTGATGATGGGGGGAAAACGCTCCTCAGAAAGGTCGAGCAATATCTATCAGACTGCAAGGCGCTACACACTCGAAGACAGCCATCTTCGTTTCCAACGATCATGTTTGTGCAAACGTCACCGTCATTTCCTTATAAATTCGCACATAGACACCTCATTCTACCGCGTGCCAGATGTTCTACGAATTTTGGCATGGCGCGGAGGCGTACCTCGTTCCTGTGACTCCGCAAAGAGCGGATGTGCACCGAATAGAGAGACACGTAGAGCGAAGAGCTGACTCAGACTTGGGGAAATTCCTTTATGTTCCGTAAGAAAGGAAATGCAGTCACCGTGGTGATTTGCATATTTTTACAGGGCAATTTACGACAAGACTTCTTTTCTTAACACGACGTTCTTCCCCGTGTCATTAACAACGTACTGAAAACTACGTGAAATACCAATTTGTTTCGCCCATCAGATTATATAAAAGTGAAAACAAACTAAAATGAAAGTTTCGGTTTAATCTAGGAATTTCTTTCTTGTATATGCATACCACAAATAACTAACCCATTATGCTCACCCTGTGCCTGTTTCCTCTACAACCTTTCTCTCATTTCAATGTTCATAAAATTAAAACTCAACACGTACTTGATCTGGTCTAAAATACAGCTGTAATGAAACTATGCCTTATAAAACCTCCTTACAGAACTTAATCCATTTTCAGTCAATCCCAGAGATAGAGAGACAAAGCCTCACATCAGGACTGTACTAGCGGCAAGACAAAACCCTGTGCCACTGTTGTCAACCACAATCCCAAATGGACAGTACTAGAACTAAATGTGGGCCAAGGACAACAACTACCACAACACTGCCATTTCTACCTTCCATGGATCAGCAGCAACCGCGAACTTGTGAATATCAATTACAATTGGAAGCAGTGCCTGGCTTATTACACACACTCTGCCCACAGAAAAAGACAGTACAACCTTATATTGAAGGTTCCCATTGCAGTGAAAATCTGAACTGTAAATTTCTGAGTTATGTCTCTATAGTCTTGCAGACTGATATAAACCTTTTTTGGGAAAGAAAAAAACTACAACCTCCAATTTTCAAGGCAGAAATTCAACAGCACATGCTACTTTGGCCAGTAATGTATCACTCAATACTTAGTATCATAATATGGTTGTAAAGGGAAAACATTTACCTTGTTTTTGGGCTTTAAAATTCTGCCTACTAATACTGTCATTGAAAACATTCAGAAATTCCAAAAATAACACTTTCTTAGCTGTGTAAAAAAAAAATATTTCTTAAGCATGCTGCCACAAATGATGGGCTTGAAAAATAAATTTTACAATGGATGAATATTTTAAAGGAAATAAATAATGAACAGAAACTCAAACCTGAAAAAATTTGATAACTCAATGAATTTCATTTGTCAGTTCACGCAATGGCCTAATTATGAAAACATCAATCCTAAAAATAAACTGGGCAATTTCATATATATAATTTTACATGTCCAAAATACCCTATATCTTGGAAACCCCTTTATCCTGGAACATGGACAGGTTCATGCACTTAGCTTCAATGCTTCTCAGGGAAACATTTACAGTTACATATTTTGTTATTTTGAATTTCTAACTGATGAATACCTTCTATCTGGAGGATTAGCTTACGGTTGAGGGTGGAAGACATTGAAACCATCACTGGAATGCAGTTATTCTTTTGTTGAACCCTTCACTAGACTACAGTATTGCAGATACAGTTTTAACTCCATCAGCACTGCGCTTACATTTGAGTTCAAACTGTGTTAACAGAGATGGGATTTTTCTTTTTGCAATGGGGAAGCAAACATTGGTGGAATTAACTTTAGAAAATTTAATTGAGGCTAGGGTATAATGTTCAATGCATGGGAGTAGGTTTCAAAAGATAATAATTCTTGTTGTTGTTATTAATTAATTCAAGTAAGCCTACAGCAGTTAGTGTACGTAAGTAAATAGATTAGTCATTACATCACAATCTGAAAGGATTACTTTTCCTTTCCCTCTATCTTGAACACCTCTGTAAGTTGGACACATTTTCATGAAACCATAAGCGTCCAACTTAGAGAGGATTTCTCTCTCTCTCTCTCTCTCTCTTCTAGGTTACAGAACACAAGCAATAAATATCGACGTTGCCACCAACGAGAATCTGACGGCGTTAGCTGAAGAGGAATCTACATATTTCATTCATCGTGCCTCGATACGTACATGAAATGGTAAAGAAAGGCGTTATATTCTGGCAACAGAACTATGTTAAGAAATAAATCACGATACTGAATCGAATTTCATATACAAACACATTATTATATTTTCAAAATAAGTTTGCCCAACAGTACTACAACCACAAGCGAACTCTAACCCACTCGCTATACTACACGGCAGGGCGTGGACGGTCATCTGCGAACGGAAGCCTAATAAGGCATTAGTGGTTCATTCCTAAAAGTCCCTTCTCAGAAAGAACTTCGGTAATTCAAACAAGGCAGTAACTTCTGAAATAGTATATGGGTATTCTGTTTGCAATTATAAACACTGCTTTATCATACATCTAATAGCATATTTTAGGCAGATGATTATAAAGAATCACAATGCACTACTCACCCAAAATATTAGGTTGATAAGGACAATAAGATGTTTCAAAACTGCGCAACACCCCGAGACACCCATAGCTTACGCTTTAAGCTTCAAATATAACTGATTGCCAGAAGCAGAACTTTATCGTCCACACTGCTCACAACAAATATAAATAAAAAACACTCTTCTGCCACAGACTACTCGTTCTTCAAGTGTGTATGGCACAGATGAGTATGCTGTTGCTGGACCAAGGAATATGACGCATAGGAAGCGCGGTAAAGATGTGAACTATACATACTATCGCTTAATACGGCTTTAAAATACTTATTACAAGCAAAGAGCATGCGGTTTCTTGTCAGAAATTATTGTTTATATCACGCGAGTAATTGTACTATCGATTCTGATATTCGATAAATTGTTTATTGCCGAAGGTCAACACAGACCCGCCTAACCTAACCTAAAAACCAGCCCATCTGGTTAGTTTGGCATTTCTACTCTGAAATTGTCAAACATATTCTTTGAACGTCATTTGAAATCATGAGATAAGCGTTAAATTTTGAAACATACTTGTTGGCTTAAATAAATATAAGTTGTACCCAATATAGTTTGAAATGCAGATTTACACAAAAGAGAAAGATACCAACTCTGTCCAAGGAACTAATCCATGGCTGCATCAACTTTCAGAAACAGAATGTATGTTAGCACAAAGTGCTCTTGTTAGAACATAATAGACTAAAATACTGGTAATTCAACTATGCTTGTGTAATATACTTTTCAGAAATAGAAAATATGTTACTGCTGTAACCACCACTACCACCAACAATAATTATATTAAAATGGTGCTGGTATTGTACAACGGTATGCAACGCCACTGTGTATGTATGTATAATTATATATATATGTACACACACTTTTTATACAGGGTTTCATCATGAGCACTTTTACAAGCTTTCCACACTCTTAGTTTCAATACTGTACCCAAATCATTGTGCTCAATTTCAATACACAGAATATACAGAGAAAGACAATTCAGTTAAGAGACAGACAGCCAATAATACTGAGCTGAATGATATGCATTCTCCTCTGCTCTTTACTTCTTAAATTTAATTTTGATTTGTTACCAAAATTCAAAATATTTGTACTATGCCACATTTTGAAAGATTTATTAGCTACCTTTATATTATACTTTCACCCTGCATTTTGCTGATAAAACATGAACACATACTTAATTACCTCTTCTGCAGAAGTCTCTAGTATGATAAAAATATTAAACTGAAATATAATTTAAAGTTCATATTAATCATAGCAAAGAATCTGGTCCACTACAAAAAAAAACCCAAAGGACTACAGAAATTCACAGTAAAAACACACACACCAGCAGGACACTACTAAAACTAAAAAGTGTTTATACATGAAGCTGTAATACCATAAGTTGAGATTTAAACGGTTGATTATCCCACAAAAATACTCCTTTCTGGTTATATCCAGCCAATTCTACACTTCTCAGTCACCATTATATAATTTGATGAAATAATTTTAATAAAATAAAAAATGCTCAATAGGGGGCAACAAATAATATTATTATATAACAAGTGTTATTTTTGTACTTTTAGTATATACACACACTCACACTTTTTATTTCCCTCATAAATTTCCCAATTTTACATCAAAATTTAGTCTTCTCTTCAAGTATGTAAAATAGAAATTTCACTCTATGTAGATATAAAATATGAAGATGTAAAGAAACTTCAATAGATAAGTACATTACACACAGTGACAGCAGCACCTCTCAAATAAGGTGCACGGATCACAGACTGGCATCCTCAGTTGCTGCTCACGATACTGGTCTCACTCATGCTTCTAGTCATCTTCTGCTTGATGTACGTCTCCCACAGCCAGTGACACAAGATGTATCCCACCAGCACACCATACATGCTTGTTAGTGCTGCCAGTAATTTGAACCAAACACTTATGTTGTCATAAGTAATTATATACAAACACAGGAAATTATAAACAGAGAGAAGAGTGGAAAGGAAGGAGATAAAAGATGAAACATTCAAATCTGCAAGTGTAATTTTAAAACTTTTCAAGAAAACAGAACAACACAATAAACATGCTTAACACTGCTCCACAGCGCATCACTGGCACAATCAACAGCCAGTTCCTACAATTTCCAATACACACAACCTACTTCCTGAAGATCCATTTTAATGCTCATAATCCAAGAGTGTTATGTCTTCCAATAGGAATCTCCAAAAAAAATTCTTTTGTCCTATCTGAGGTACATGCCCAGGCCACCATCATACCCTCATAGATTTCACTACCCCAAAAATACTACGTAGTCTGTATAAATCAGGATTTCTGAACCATATCCAGATCTAGAACCACATTCACAATTTTGTATTGACTCAAAGGCTACAAGATTATAAATGAGGACAATTTATTAAAACTACTACTGATTTACTGCTGCAAATGGTTCATACATCAATCAATAATTTTCTTTCACAAAATCTGCCATTAGTAAGATATAATACTGTTTTTGCTTACATTTCTTTCAATATCCAGTTTAATTTATGTTATGATCTGCACGCATCCCTCAAAGAATTCATCAATGAGATGCATTCTAGCTCTTGTTGACATTTTTCAATAAGCTGCAGACTTACTCATAATACTGACAAATAGTGACGTCAGTAACAGAATGTTTTCTGATAAAACTACTTTTCATTAAAAGCATGAAATAACATTAAAAAAAGTACATGGTACAAAAAACAAACTTTTTCATTAAAAACATGAAATAACATTAAAAAAGTACATGGTACAAAAAACAAACTGGAGGGCTGCATGTGTATTAAAGTTGAGAACCCCTGGTATAAATCAAAGTTCCTTGTTATACAACATCCTAATTTTTTCTATTAACTTTACTCCTTGTTGTTCCAAATATTCTCCAGGACACTAGTAATGTGTAATCTTCCCTCACAGTAACATTTTACAACTTGTGAAAGGCCTTACTCCACTTTCCTTACATAATTTAATTTCTTCACCCCAAATCTAGCCAAGTGCAACATCAGAAGTAAAGCCCCAACTATACATTGAGGTTTGTTGATGTACTTGCCATAGCACACCTCAGGAGCTTAAGAACTTGAAAGCCTAAGAGCACGGCAGGAAAGAGTCAAATATTAACTTAAAAACTGACCCTAGTACTGTTTTACCCAATACAAATCCAACATGCACTGCCATGAATTCTCAGACCTCCATTATGTGAAACCAGTGTGTTAATCCCTGGTCATAGCCTATACAGAAGGGTTATGATATTTTCATGTTTGTTTAATAACTTTTGAATCATCAGCCAGTTGGTATCAAGGTCATACCACTGGAGGAAATGTAACCCACCTGCTATGACGTATGCAGCCACAGTTAAGGCACTTATATTTGGAAGTGGTGTTGGATTCACACATCTCTTCATGTCTGCGGACAGAACAAAGTATCACAGCACAGCAGCAATACCATTCTCGACCATACCGCAACAGAAACTTCAGAGTAAAGAAAGAAAATGAATAACAAATCTGACATCATCTGATGATGATTTACATCAAATTTAATACTTGATATTAGTCCTGTTACACAATTACTTCACTCATAACTGGTGCTTGTTCTGATGCAGTAGTGTACAGCTAAACTCAAGACAATATGCTCTCCTTTAATAAGCACAGCATACAGCAATTAAACACAAATTTTACTTTACCACGTTTTGTTTTGAATGGTCCAAACACATCTACTGCCGGGCCACATGGAGACTTAGCAAACCCAACGGTCTTGCTGCTCCGATTGAAGACTATGCGGAAACCCTCCATTACAACAACGCCTATAACATGCCAATAAGCACACAGCATTACACCACAAGCGACCAGAAGGGAATTTCTTTTTCTTGGTTATTGATGATGGAGGAACTGCAGTGCCTTAAACATTTCAATTTCCCTCATTCTCTTAAATCTTCAATATGTACCATTATGAAGCAGACTGGTGTAGTTAACACTCTCAATTATTATTTTTAAGGCAACCAAAATGAACCTTGATTAAGAAACTGGATATCCAAACTCAGTGTTTATAGTTTTCCTCAGTCTGTACAGGAAAATACTGAGATAGCACCTTTATATGTTCCATGATGTTTCCTTCCAAATCCTTACTTAACCCTCACACTACCTAACATCTGCAATTGAATTAGCATTGTAATAAATTATTAATACTTCTCATTATAATTGCGAACTATCTCTTGAGTTCATTATCATATTTTTTACGTGTATTCTTGTATGATATAACAAATATAAAGCATACCTAGCACTGTTCCCGTCTTGGAAGACTTGATACATAACTTATAGCAGTTCTGTAGGCCAAGCACCTCAGAGTTGTTGGACACCCTCTTTATATAGGACTGGAACAACAGGCATTAGTCAGACTTGTCTATGGACACTCATTTTTTCACAGTTTTGTTTGCTGTAAACAGGACAACATACCTGCGGAGGCAGTTGTAGAACAAAGTATGAGGTGTCTGAGTGAGCTAAGGAAAGACTAATGTTGGGAAAGTGAGTCCAGTCCAGAGGGTCCTTCCAACAAAACATCTTCTGGAGCATCAAGAAGTCATCAGAAATCGGAACACTCTGTTGTGTAATGGACGAGTTCAACAACTTCACCACCACGTTGAACACCTGCACGAGTGAACAAGTGGAGGAATAACTTTGTGCAACAGTTGGAACTAGAAAACTCTAGTTTGTCACACAAGGAATACACATTGAAATGGTATTTGTTTCTTATGATAGAAATGAACTCTACTGGTATGTAGTCATGCATCAGTGGTACTTGATCAAACCTGTGGTACCTCATAAATCCTGACCTTTAAACATATCCATCTCTCACACATTGCTTTTGCATATCACTTCAGTGGTACTTCCCAAAAATTTGTGGCACCTCAAAGCTGACCCATGCTTTTTTAATGTTGAAATTAGACAAAAAATCTTCCATTTGAAAGCAGTCAGTCTTCTGGACTGCAGTGCTGTGTAGTTTGGTAGAAGTTTACCAACATTTCAAAGGTCTTTGCTGCCCCGATAATGGAGGCAGCAACAATCTCTAAATACTTCGTAATTTAATTCAAGGGACATAGTTTATTGTCCGCGAGCCACGAGAGTAGACCTGACATCTTTGAGGGAGGTGGGGTAGAATTCTGTGTTACTAGCGGACCGAGAGACACCTGCAGCTTATACAGGCCGTACGTCGTGAGCTAATGTACTGACTGACTGACTGATAGCACAATGTTCTTAGGTAAGGAATATATCACCAGCGCATGCGCAGAACCCACTTTCCCCCTGCCACACAAGCAACAGCTGACAAGACCACGTCTACTCTTGTGGCTCACGGACAATAGTAGCAATAATGTTTAAGATCATTAGGTCTTAACTATGTTATTAATAAATACTACAGTAGCAGGACCCAAAGGACTGACACCAATAACACTAACGTCTAATAATGGACAAATATCAACGATGGTTTCTCTTCTAGTCCTCAAAGGACTCCACACTATACCTCAGTTGGTAACATTAGGCTGGTTGTGCCACTGTCCAGAATAGTTTTGTCTGTATTGAACTTTCGGCAGGACAGATCAACTGTTTTATTGCCAATACTGATACCAAGCAGTAATAATTCATAAAACCACTCTCTCACTATGGGTGATGTCCACAGCTCTGCTCCTTCATTCCCATTTCCTGAAATAAACAATAGCAAAGTAAACTGGTAAGGACCGGATGTGGAGAAAATAAGAAATACATTTAGATTTAATATTGGTTTAAAAGCCACTAGAAGACAAAGAAAAGTTGATTGAACTTCAGATTCCATTATACTGATCTAGATTGAAATCAAAGGCTCTTACCCAATATCTCAAACACACCAGTATGTTTGCTTCCATCACCTTCAGATCCACAGAGCTCTAGTGCAAATGCAACACTTTGGTTGTTCTTCAGATGCTGGAGTGCTTCAAGCCACGAGACAACATTCCGATCGGGTTGTGCTATCACAGGGTATGCTAGCCCCAGAATACCCTGAAATCAACACAAATCGTCTACAACAAATTCCTTCCAAAAAATACTGTAATAATGCTACATCAGCTAATAATATCAGGGAATCTAAAAACAAAATTGTCAACACATGTATCATCGTTGTCAAATGATGCCTGCCATAAAAAAGCTAAATTATCAGGCTGACTCAGTATTGTACCAACTGCTCTCTCAAAAATAATCTACAATATCAGAAAAAGAGAACTAAAGGTAAAGTTGTGACAGTGCCTATGCACAGGAACATGCAGGCATGTAATGACATGGGCATAAAGCTTCTCGGATTCTAATCCAACAATCTAACTTTTACAATTGAAAGCCATAAATACAGGTTCAAATTTTTTATTTCATCAAAACCCATGTGCTAGAAGTAGAAAACCTCTTTGGAGTGGAAGGAAGTGCAAGTCATATGAAAATGCCCTTCAAGTCAACATACTGTACCTGCCAGTGGGAACCATTCATGTAGAAATTGTGTGATGTTTTTATGGCAGCAATATCACATCTCACTAGAGGAGTGAAGAGAGGGGGAAAGTTAAGGACATCACTTCCCAACTCTCCACCCCAGAAACCCTGTGTGTACAGGACAGAGACCTTCTTGTGGTGGGATACATAAGTGTTTGAACTGAAACAGACCAAAACATAAAAAGCAACAGCAATATCATGCTTAACAAATTAATCAAAACTCCTTATTGAACTCTATAATCCTCATAGCAAATAAATGCTGAATCTTAAATAGCCATGTTGTCAAAAACTATAGCAGCAAATTGCTGCTGATTAAACAACAGATTCTTCAGTTCCAAACCATTAGACCAAATACGACTAGTAGAGCCACTTGTCAAACAAAGCACTTCACATACATATATTTCTTCTACAAAAATATGAGCTAGTATTTATTTTACCAGTGCAATGGGATATAACATTAAAAGGGATAAGTGGATGAGCCTGTTGTTAATGTGGTAACCGAAAATCTACTAACACTAAAATGTGTGTAAAAACAAAATACTTACTTTGAACTGTTGAAAAAATTCTCCACATTTGGATCTGGGGCTGCAGCAATGGCAAAATTTGTGCTTCCTGTATCCACAAGAACATTGAACTGAAAGCAGCAATGTTACAGTGTCACAACTCAGCAATATGTATTAATTATAAGGGGGAACATTTTGCACCACATCACATGACCATACAGATACAAATTTCAAGGTATATGAAAGTAATTATAGTTACAGAAACAAATGCAGAGTTCAAACTGAGTATAAGTGCTGATTACTGTATAGATCCACCAAAGCTAACCAAAACTAAGCAGAAAGCAGAACTAGCACATTAACCTTCCCCCTTCCAAAACATACATTGTGGCATGCATGCCCTATAGTTTGGATTTTAATCCATATGTCACTACCTACAGTCTAAATTAGTATCAATGTCAAATTTATTCTGCTTACAAATGTTCAGGCTGAAAAATAATGATCAACCTACAGTTTGAGGTGGTGATCCAATTTTTACTTCAATGTAGTACCCCTCGCCAGGCCTTCCCATAAGATTGGTGACAAGTTCCAGGCTTGGCACTGCAAGAATGCACAGCAGTGTTAACAGCAAATGTGGCTGTATTGGACAGGATCTTCGATGACTCTTGCAGACTTCGGCACAATGCATTGTATACGTAATAAATAAATAAACATACAGCCATCAATACACGTATCCTCAAGAATGTTACCAAGTTAAGCTGGTACCTGAAATTAAGAAGACATTTCACAAATCTCCTTTATGATACTATTACGCACCTTTAGACAAAATAGAGGTACAACTAGTAAATTTAAAAATGTTTCATGTGGCATGGAGATCCTTACATAACGTGTGCTTTGCCTAAATACAAAATAAGATGTTCTCTATGAATTCAAAATGGTAAAAATGCTGCGAAAAGACAATGAACTATACCTGTGGCGATGAAAAGAGGCACATTAAATGTTTATGACAACGAAGGCAACTTGACGATCAATCTTATTTTTTTTACCAAAAAATGGCTTCAGCATCATCATATCCACTACTACCTACAATTTTGCCTCCCTTTCCGATACAAGCCAAGCTTATTAAATCCACGAATCACCTAAATAACCCTCGTAAATACTACTAATAGCACATACACCCAATTTCGAAATCGAATAAAATGAATGGTTCATAGCAACCAACATTAAGTAACCAAAATCTTAGATTAAAATAATACCAACATACACGAACACACATGACATATAATAACAAAAGTAAAATTTTACAAAATGTCTTTACGTTGTTAAACGATGTTTTGTTTACGTCAGGAGAGCAATATATGCGTTAAGACGGACTTCCTTGAATTAATGCAACTTGTAAACAAACTCATTAACCTGTCGCTTCAATCATTTTACGCTGTCACTGTATGATACTATCGATACAACGTAGGACTGTGCTGTCGAAGAAAGATTCAAGAGAAGGCGAAACCATGGACGAATTGTCCACTGACGAAGCAAGTATATCTTTTACTTAATATGTTCTAATAAGTCGTAATTTAGATTGATTCTTAATTTACAATTTTCTATGTTTCAGACACAATTTGTGGTGGACGAAGTTAGCACTATAATTAAAGAAGCAATAGAAAATTCGATTGGAGGAAATGCATATCAGCACAACAAAGTAAATCAATGGACATCATCTGTTGTTGAGGCATGTTTAGGAGCATTGACGAAACTACAAAAACCATTTAAATATATTGGTATGCTGCAAGAGCTTTATTACTTTTGATGTGATGATTTCATGATTGAGTTATAAATTTGTTGGCCGTTTGGAGTACCAACTTCAAAAATATAATTGTGACAGTTTTGAAATTTGGTGATCTTATTAGAAAGTAGGTTAATGTGACATTTACTGCAGTGTTGCTTGTGTCTTTGGCCAGAATATGAATAATTAGTTAGACATATTTTTACACATTAATGTGATAGATGTATAATGTATAGATAGACCTTTAGGTTATAGAAGTGGCCATGGTTGACCCTTCCCAATGTGTTGTAAAACACTTTTTGAAATTTCGGTGTGGCACGAAAAAAAATTGTCCTGCAAGGAGAGTTGTTTTTCATTGTGGATATAATGATTCCACTCTTCTTACTTAGCCTGCTGATTAATACCTTCAATCTGTATTATAATGCTGTCAACAGGGTACTGTAGTTCAACTTAATATTTTGGGGATACCCATTTGAAACTCCAGGCAAAGTAATTGGCTATCCTTATATAGATCTTGCTTTTCCTGCTGGTATTGTATCTTAAAATATACCTGACTACTTCCAAATTCTTATTAATTAATTAGCTATTCAGAATCATTCCCTAATTTCTCATTGGATGCTTGCAGATGATATCATCACACACAAAAAAATATATATAGTGAGAAGGGCACATGCTTGAACTATTTGAATTCATTTTCATACACAGAGGTTGTACTAGCTCTGATATAAATATATTTTTACCAGTAAGAACAAATAGTTATAAATAAGGAATCATCCACTGTGATGTAGGTCTTAAACTTATCACATATGGTAACTACTGAACCCTGTCTTGAACCACTGTAATCCAGTTAACATGCTCAGAACGTAATTATCCTTCTCTGTTTTTGTCTCTGACTGGTCTCATTACTTCAAGATGTGGCAGTCAATATAATGATAACAAATTTTGTGTATTTTCAGTGACTTGTACAATAATGCAGAAGAATGGGGCAGGACTTCACACTGCTAGCTCTTGTTTCTGGGATAACAGTACAGATGGCAGTTGCACAGTTCGCTGGGAGAACAAGACCATGTATTGCATTGTGTCTGTGTTTGGCTTAGCCATTTGAACCTGCACATTTTTCTGTACAGTGTAACATCTTTCCATTGCACTTATTAGCTACTAAGATGCTGCTTTTGGCATGGTTTGAGCTGCTGTTACTAAACAAAACTCTTGTTATATTTCTGCAAGTACATCAGATGCCTTTCAGTTTAAAGTCTGCAATTATAACTCTGTATGCATGTGATAAATTTGTGTTATGTTATGTAAATAAAAATCTGTCTCAATTTGAGATGTTCGTCTAAACACTGTGATTTACTTATTTATTTTGTAATCAAACTCCATGAAGTAGTCCTTGAGTAGCTGATAGTTGGTCAGCTAGCCAAACTCCCCATATTGCTTGGAACCTAATTGATCATTACATGTTCATGACAACCTTCCACCTGACCCTATCCTCAATCAGATCAGTCCAGTTCATATCCTCACTTCCTGTTTCTGTATGATCCATTTTAATATTGTTTATACATTATGCCTAGCTCTTCAAGTTTTGTAATTAAAATTCTGTATGAATTTATCTTCCGCACATGCTGTTCTTTTCCTTCGTGTCTCATCCTGAGTGACTTGATCATTGTAAGGATATTAGATGATGAGTGCAAATTATGAAACCCATCATTATGAAATGCTCTCCATAAACGTGTTACTTAATCTCCCTCAAGTAGAAAAATTTTCCTTAGCACCCGACACCATTACATCTCTTGTGAAAAAATTGTGTAAGATACTTGGTTAGGTTAGATTTATACTTGTAATTTGATGTTTCCTCTTATTCTTCCTTTCCAGTTATGGCTTGTTATGGGCATTACAAAACAGAATCCTTCCATCGTTCGAGGGGTCGGCCCAGACATCTCTTTCCTTTTGCTCTTATTCTTCCTTTCCAGTTATGGCTTGTTATGGGCATTACAAAACAGAATCCTTCCATCGTTCGAGGGGTCGGCCCAGACATCTCTTTCCTTTTGGGTGGTATCCTACCTGAAATCATTCTGTGTACATTCTTTTCAATTTTTCCGGTACTGTGTTATAAAATCTATTATTGGTGTAATGTTAAGTTGCTTTTCTATAATTCTATAATTCATTACTTTTGTGATTGAAAAGTGTTTAACCCAAAGTTCTTATGAAATGCATTTCTGCTGATATCAATCTTTTTGTATCATAACATCAGCTAGTCTGTGATTCACTACCTCGACAGTTGTTTTAGCAAGAATCTTATAAATTTTAATTCTGGTATAATTTTATATTATATTTGGTTTGAAAAATTGGTTTCAAGCTGTTATTTTCACATCCAGATCTTTTTCTTCCTCATAGGGCAGGTGATATCCCAAATAACTGAAAGTATTAACATGTTCTAGGGTTTTGTTATTAATACAGATTTTCCTCCTTACTGGTTTTTGATTAGTTTGACATGCTGATAATTGTGTGGCATATCAGCCAATAAACCATTCATTCATGCAGCTTTAACATGATGCAGAGTACAGCAGTACATCCATGGTTTCTTGCAAAAGCAGAAAGCAACAGAAAAGTATAACTACAGAATAATTATGTTCAGAAATACAAGAGCCACATCTTCTGCAAGTTCTGAAACTTACTGAGTTTAAATAGTTTTTATCATTTTAAACATACTATGAAAATACTGTTACTACACCTAAAAATGAAATAACTACTGGCAATCTTGTGTAATAAATTTACATGATTCTTAACAAGTACTTCACCCAATGCAGAAAGAAAGAATATGAGCACTCCACATGTGCACAGTGTTTGCAACTATCTCCCAAATCATATGGTACCAGATTCTGCTGTCAAAGATCAACGTATGAATTTAACAAATGTTTACTGGCATCAAAACAAAACTTAAGTAGCCTTCAGTACAGTTCAATCTATCATTGACATAACCAGATACATTAAACAACCATTTTCCTAACTGTTTTGTATGAATGGGAAATGCGGTTTCTTACAAGTATTTTAAACGAGAGTGTTATTGTAAATGTTTGGACATAAAAGGGATTAAAGATTCTGCGAATAGAGGGTACTGTAAAATGAGGAACTTCATGATGCATTTATGCAATCACATGGTATTCTCAGAGTATTAAATTTATAATGAAGGTGAGATAGGTATAAAGCTTGCATGGGAAACACAACATTGGTATAAAAATCTCTTAGAAATCAAAAAGGAGATGGGAGGATGATTTTGAAATGGATCTTATAGAAACAGGTTGTGAAGATATGAAATGGATACATTATCTCAGGACAGGTGGGCTTTCATTGTAACAGTAATGAACACCCAGGTTCTGCAAAAGTGTATTTTGCAAATGGTCACACAAATAGACTACTTAATGAGGAGTCCACACTATTGTTTAATATGCTTATTTGCAAAGAATGTTAGTCATACAATAAGTTTTATTGTTGTTGTTTTAATATGGCCATAGCAGTATGTTTGCAGTCATTGCTCTACCTAGCAATGATAAAACAGTTTCAGAAGGAAAAAGTGTGTTCCAGTATTCAGCGCTACGGATCATCGATGCAAGCTGCAAGTTTCCCAAGCATGTGATCAATATATGCCACATGTCTGGGCTCGGCTTTAAATGATGTAGCAAAAGTTGCCAACAGAGTTAAATGTCCTCTTTCCACTTGTGTAAACATAATCTTAGGCCACCTCCCATTATAGACGTCCATCAGAGTTAGCCGTAGAACAACGCTTTCAGTCGACACCTTCTTATATAAATGAATAATCTGAACATTAGTAAAAAGAAATGTGCAAGCTAGACAATGTCAAGCAGACCTTTCTCTCGCTGATTCTCTCGCTCTTCTGCCTGCTTACGAAGAAACCGGAGCCCCGCAGTGACGGAGCTCTCCAGATCATTCATCCTGGCCTTTCCTTTTTCCTGTCTTGTCCCACTGAATGATGGACCATAGTATTCAAATGTTGGAGGGGGCGGAATTTCTGCTCCTTTACCACGCTCAGTCTGTTCATCATCCCCCATATCTCTACTATGTGACCCGCATCCCAAAGTCCTCTTAGGTTTATGTGATGATGATCTGTCAACCCGGAATGTAACCAGGGGTTGAATCTCATCTCCTCTTCCACATGTAGTCATGTCTTCATCACATTCCTCAATCCTGATATTTGATCTCTTGGTGCCTTTGTCTGTAGAGTTTCTCAGAGTGCCGTGAGGTTTCTTTGACGAGAAGAATAATGTTGGTTTTCGTTTCTCTGGCAACACTGCAGCAGGGTTCGGAACAAAATCAGGCTGATATGACCTCGGTGGTGCAAACTCCTGTGGACGTTCACATTGCTTCTGTTTAACCCAGTCTTCTTGTGACATGACTGCAACAGGCCATAAAATTTACTGTTAAAGTTTGAATCCATACCACTGTATCTTCCATTCTAAGTTTAATTTTAAACATCTGATAAAGGCTTACAAACTTAACAAATAATATATTCTATTTGTATTATATTTAGCAGAACACCAATAAATATATTGATATTTAGATCGTTATATATCTTAGTAGATAAATCAAATAAATATAACAATTAAGATACGCAATAGAAAGGAAGAAAGCCAACAACTCACCCTCCTTCACTCCCTCTTTGCCGATATCCCAAGGCCGAACTTGCGGCTGTTTCCTTGTTGCTGGTTCCGGTTTTGGATCCAGTTCGATTACTTCTTTCTCCTCACTTTCTGATGCTTCTGCTTCGTCTTCATCTTCTTCTGGCTGCACAGACACGTCTGGCTCTGCAACGAGGGACAGGCCACAGAGTTACCAACAGACACGTCGCGCCAAGGCATCAACGCGTATAGAGGAGCGGAGGTAAAGTTCCGTGGCATTCTATTACCACATACAGAATCTCGAACTGTAAGCATCCATGAGTGGAAAATGTACACAGAAACCTTCCGACCGCGGGTTTGAGAGCGTCAAGTCGAATTCTTACCGTCCTCCTCCGGAGGCAGGCCCAAGCGGGCCCGCTTCCTCTGTCGAGCGGCCTTCAACCTGGCCTGCAGCTGCTGCTGGCGTCTCTCCCGAAGCCCTTGGGCGGCGACCTGTTCGCGTTGCGTCTCCTGTCGCAGCTTAGACAGGGCGTCCTGCTGAGCGCGTCGCTTCGCCTCGTCCTGTGCGAAGCCGTAGTACCCGACGCCGTGACTGCGGGCCTCTGTAACGTAAACGAACAAAATGATAGCAATGCAAGGCGATGGAAAGGCCAAATTCTTCCAGTCCCTGAACGTTAATCTCAGTACAAAAATTCCACGCTAACCGCCGAGGGTCACATTCCTGAAAAACAGAGAAATTGGGATTTACGGGCATCATGGCTGCTATAAACACTGAGCGATCTGTTCCTTCCCTTTTCCAAAAATACGCAGAACACAAAACAGAAACATTAAGAGTTTCGTAATGGATGCAGTGCAATGGTAACCTGGAAGCCAGAAACTGCCTTCGGATGCCACTGCAGACTTGCACCGGCAATTACAGATCTCACAGTGTGGGATACATCGATTTTTTTCTGCGTACCTTTATAAAACAACGCGCATGTAATAATATACCGCGGATTGAAAAAATGGATAAAAATGGAGGTAAATGACTGTTGAATAGCCCATACAAGATGTTATCACGCCTAAGCTCAAAGGCATGAAAGCGAACAAAACGAAAACATGTACAAAATGAAAGGACGAAAGGGAAACTGTGTAACACGTATGTTCATCACTGCCGCAACAAAAACCCATCAACGGGATATATTGTGATCAAGTTAGATATAATTCTCAGCCAAAGAAAACTATTTACAGAAGATCCATTTTGACAAAAAAGTCTTTCATAAGATAGTATAATTGCGTCATATTGTGAATCAAATATTAAATTAATTATTCGGTTTTTGTCCGTCTAATCACAATTATATTTACAATTTACAAATAAAATAATTAAAATATCATTTTTTGTTCCACATCGACACATCAACGTGTCTACACTATCATCTTTGGCCGATGTAGAACATCAAAAGCATTTCACTTCAAAACAATACATTTGCTCCAATATATGAAAATAATCTGGATATGAACATCACCAGAAAACATCACCAAAAAGCTACACAACAGAAATTGTAATTGAGTTTTAAGTTTTTTGATATAATTTTACACCTGAAGATGGTTCGATGAAACCGAAACATGTTGTAAAAATGTTCCAAATGTAAATCGATTATTCGATGTGGAACATAAAATGATATTTTAGTTATCTTATTTGTAAATTTTAAATATAATTGTGATTAGACGGACAAAAACCGAATAATTAATTTAAAAAAGTCTTTAAAATGTCTTGCTTCCCATTTGTGGTGCATGTTCGAATCTCTACTGAAATTATCATTAAGTAGTGGGAGAAACTATAAAGCTGTTACTTCATATCATCATCGTCATCATCAGGGATTAGGCATTAATGCCTGTTACAGCTTCAAATTGACTTCATATCTATCGGGTCCAAATATGCCTATTAATTTATGCGAACAAAAAAAAAAAAACATTTCATGAAACGTTTGTGTCTGAAACTCCGTGAGAACAGACAATGCCCGACTGCAGTGCCTGCATCTAGACCTACCTACCTGACTACACTGTCAGAGAAGTTGCCTATCCTCGCAGCGGCGCGATAGTTATTCGGATTTAACAAACTGAGCCTGTGGTTAGGCTACACCGCATTACTTATATGTAAGAGGATTTTCCGACTGATAAAGTCCCTTTCAAAGTAGGCTCTGTACCACTGAGTTAATAATTAATGTTAAAATGTTTGGACAAATTCGTTTCCTGGGAAAATCACCCTATTCACAACAGACAGGCGTGAGTGGAAACACCTTAAATAGTAGTAATTCCATGAATTCAGCTGAGGTCGTCGAAATATGGGGATTTGCTAATTTATTCCCAGCACTAACACTGCTGCCAGCTAGCGGTGTTCATTTCCAAGAACGTGTGCGAATGTAAAGATAAATAATGAATGTGTTGAAATAGTCACTGCAGGTAATACAAATAATTTATAGGTGGTATTCATTACTCTTAGACCAATGAGCTGTATCAACTGAATATATTTCCGAGCATTCGCATGGAAGTACTGACGAATATCATGGCAAAGTGGTCAAAATTGCCTATAAGTCTGTATTTCCAGTCCATCACCTGCCCAGTTAGTCGCGATTTGTGGTTATTCCCCGCAAGATGCTACGACGACACAGCGATCGATGACGCCCCTGCACTGAACTAGCACTCATCGGAGGAGCGGAACACATAAAGCCACCTTAGTGACTGGACCATCTTCAGGCCTGAAGATGGAGACAATATGTTTCTCCGAAACGTTGTTCTCTACCTACTAGTCTACATGGAGTCACAACCGAGTAGAGCATCTTCAAATATATGGAAATACCTCGCTAAGCGTCAGCAGGAGCGAAAGTTTTAATAAAAGATAAGGTATTTAAATGAGGCGTATTTGCATCAGGCTCACTGATTTCAATCCGTATTAAGAGTGAAACATCAAAAGCGATGTCAAACCTCCTCCTACAGTCCTGTCACGTATCTGAACTTAGACATCATTCGACCTGTCTAAACGGGCACGGTGTCACGAAACTGGCAGAAGAACATGAAGGTGGATCAGTTCCTAATTTATACTTTGATCTCCGTTGCGTACTACATGGCCAACCATCAGCCCTCTTCCCATGCAGCAGAAGATCCATTCTTTCCTATCATTCAATAAATGTATTATTGTGGTACGCAAGCTCCTCCTGGTTAAAACACAGTTTAGGGTAATGGAATTTTTAATGCTGGCCTCTACGTGTTTCATAAACTGGGTGTCATATGATCGTCTAAAAAAACTGAAGCAGAAGAACCTCACTGATAAATTTCTAATACTTAAGTGTCCACTACTTCAAAATACATAGAATGAGATACTTTTATATATTAAAAATTGTCACTTTATGCAACCCTCATAGCTAAAAGGAAAAAATTCACAGGCAGGAAATATAAGATTCTGTTCTCGCACTTCCATTTTGTACCAACGCAAAAGATGAGAATATTGTTTGTGGATTTCGGTACCCTTCTTCCGTGTTTCTTATTGTTAGGGTTAAGTACAATTTCAAATATTAAACAATACAATAATTGACTCAACATAAATGAATTACAGTAGGTACATTATCTACCGTATCGGAGCATTTTATTTTGAGTTCTGTATCTTTCAAAAAGAGCTACTATGCCGAAATTAATAGCAGTTCTTTTCTTTACTCGGTACTGAAATTTTGCGTCCAATTTTGATATTGTACCCGATGTTGAAGCCCTCACCGATTCTCGAATGGTGTTCAAACCATATAAATCATAAAAAAAACTGAGAAGAATCCTTCTTTGCCTTTGAATTTTCCATGTGCTCGTGTACGACTCGAGTTTTGTGTCGAGAGTTGTGCTTGGTATCGATCAGTATCGAGATACGAGCAGGCGCATGCGTGCGGGGTCGTGGTCTAGTCACAGCATCATCAGCGCACAGTGGTACAGTGGCAGAGAGAGCGAAGACAGTGTACACGCCCCGAGGAGGGATGGTCCATTCCTCTGGCACCGCAGCAGCGCTACTGGGGATCACTGCTCTCGTCGGAGGTAGGACACAACATCGATACTAATCGATAACTCGCAAACGATATAACTACAAATAATAGACAGACATCTGGGGAATTAACAGAAAATTATCCTGTTTGTACGTTATCTTTGGCTGTTCAATTATGTCACATAAACTGCTCGACGGTTTGTTGTTTAGCATTTAGTACAGGGAACGATTATGAATGGTACACAAATCGATAACTCGCATAAGAATTACTAGAATACTGTGATTTCTGCTTGTATCATGGGTAACAGCGACGCCGTATCAACTTCACCGGTTTAAAATTAAGTATAACGATTGTGAACATTACACACATCGAGATACTGATCAATAACTCGTCCTAAGAAGGCCAGAGTGGGATACTTTTCAGTAATTATGAAGTTTGTTCGTGGTTTGGGCGCTCCATATCAGGTCGGGCAGAATCAAATAAGAAATGAAAATAAATATCTCATAACGCGTTTCATAAACGTCTATTCAACGAGATCACAATAATGCGTAAATTGTACAGAAAATTGGCGTTGTTCTATTGTGCTATTGTGTACTATATATGCCAGATTTATCCCGGATGGACTGAGTAAAATCACTTAGGTCTTCAGTCATTGTACGAATTCAGCAGAGTGGAGTGATATACACTTTTAAAATCCGGGACAACTTCCATGACACTCCACATACATCCAGACCGAGGCAAACAATCTCAGTATTAGATTTGAGGTTCTTCACGAGTGAATGATTGGACTGAGGTCTTCTGAGTCACGGCGCCTTTTAGCCTTGTATCTGATTACCTAAGACCACGTATAACCAGAACCCAAAGACCACAACCCAAGAAATTTCGAGTGTTTAATAATTGGTGTGAAGCTGTTAATTAGGTGACAGTATGGTTAATAGATTTCAGGGTTACTGATAATTGATGAGACAAATTTTTATTAACATTTAATTAGTTTAGGCTGCACGAATCCCATGTATAGACGCTGCGTGCCACAAACATACTGGTGGTTCCTGGAAACAAGGGTCATCTGAAATTTAAACGGCACATCCACAAAGACCTAAACTTGATCAAAGCGTTTTAATAATGACCAGTATCCGGTACCAGTCGCCAATCGAGTCTCCGGGGTCTAATACAGGCTTCGATCAGGGTTTAAGCCCGTGTTTCAGTGTGTTGTGTTATTCTGGATAAACAGACGCCTTGCAATGGACTGATCTCCCGTCCATGGGGTCTAAAGTATTCACAATTTCAGAACTAATTCTGAATCGAAACAGGGCAGAAGGCCAACTTCCTGATATCTGCCATTGAAATACCAGATTTAGTTGTAATTGATTTATTCGAAAGCGTAAACAATGCACAGTCACGTGAAGTACACAATACGATACCAACAAGGTAGTGCAATGAAGTACACGCCCTTCGGATTACGCCACAAGAACATCGCTCTCCTGATGGTCGCTAAGTTGATACCAACGTCGTAAACACTTCGATTTCTAATTTGGTCCAGCGACTACGTGGAAATTTTACGTAAATGTCTTCAGAAATTTTCCTGTGCTCGCAACTCTCTGAATTCCATTTGTTGTGTGTCACTTGTACAAAATGAACGCATAACGGGGAGGTTATGTCTGTTCAT